GAGACACAGTATCAGATAAACAGACAAATAATATGCCAGTGTAGTTTTACATTATTTTTGTTTTGATGTAAATGTAAACTCCAAAGTCTGTTAATAGATTTTTACCATGAAAGCAAAACTAAAGTCGAAAAGCCCTCAGGTCAAGAACCCATTTCAGTGTTAGATGGCAGGGAAAACCCTCGAGCTTCAACCTTCTGCTCCATTATGAAATCATTTATCTCCCCCGTCTGCCTTTCACAGCCTTTCTCTTGCATTCGGTGCATTTTTCAAGCCTTCATCTTCATTGCTCTGGTTTTTATCAGCAAGTTGATTTGCATCCTTGTCTTGCACCCATGCTCACAAACCAAACAGTGCATTTGAAATAGTGCCCAGTCTATTGTACAGTAGCGGACTCCGTGCAATGGCGCAGCTGTTAATTGGGGAGCCCATGGAGAAACTTCCAGTGGAGGGTCAGGGCTGCGTGTTTTTACAGGCCCTCTTTCCCCCCCTCCCTCGAAGAGCTCCGGCCCCCATCTGGTCACAGGTAGCAGATGTTTTTTATCTCGCCTGTTTCTGCACATTTTCTCCACTCTGATTTACAGCAACCCACTTAGAATCACTTGAGCAAATTAAATCAAGGTTCCTTGTGTGGATCGAGGATATTAGTCACAACTCCTGACCTCTTTGGTTAAACATGTTGAGCCCAGTGTGCAAATGAACAGACCAAACGATAAGGATTGATAACCTTCTGCCTCTTTATATCAAATGAAATGAGTGTAGTTAATCAAAAGTGACTGAAAATTATTTCTACTTATTTGAAAAGAGTTTTGAACTCAGTGTTGAAGGTAATGAGTTAATGAAATATCTCATTACTTCAACTTAAATGGAGTAAGTTCACAGAACTCATATAGATTAGTTTAACTCAAATGGTTTGTAGCAATCAGTTTCCTCAAATGGTTTCAGTTGCCTATACTTATTTATTTACTTTATACTTACTTATTTACTTTACAGTACTCAGTTGGTTTGAGTTCTCTTCATTTATTTTAGTTTTACTGTGCTCAAATTGCTTCATTTACTCAAATGGATTAAATTCACAGTACTCAGGATTAGTTTTTGAACTTAAATGGAGTAAGTTCACAGTACTTAAATAGATTAGTTTTTGAACTCAAATGTTTTGAAGCAATTGGTTTCCTCAAACAGTTTGAGTTGCCTTAACTTATTGGGTTTTACTTTGCTCAAATTGCTTCGTTTACTCAAATGAATTGAGTTCACAGTACTCATTAGGATTAGTTTTTGAACGAATTAATTAAATACATCATTACTTTAACTTAAATGGATTAATTTCAAAGTACTCATTAGGATTCGTTTTTGAACTAGTTAATTAAATACCTCGTTACATTAACTTAAATGGAGTAAGTTCACAGTACTCATATAGATGAATTTTTTTTTTTACTCAAATGGTTTGTTGGAATCGGTGTCCTCAAACTGTTTGAGCTACCTTAACTTTTACTTTTTGCTTATTAGTATAAAAACTATTTTATTACTATAAAAAATGTAATTAATTTACAAAACAGAAAGTATGAGAAGAAAGCCAACAATATTATTTTATACAATAATTTAAACTCGCATTTAGATTGAAATGAAGGTTTTAAAACAATATTGAATACTCTTTTCTTTTTAAAAAAAAATATTTTATTATTATTATTTTTAATAGGTCACCTGAAAAGCAAGTTAAAATTTATGCTGAAATATAATGAAAATGAATTTTTAAATAAATTATTAGATAATTGTTTATATAAAACATAAGCTAATGCTATTTTATTATCACTTATGTACTATTGTAGTTTTAATTCACATTAAAAATTTTTGAATTAGGTGGCACAGTGGCTCAGTTGGTAGCGCTGTCACCTCACAGCAAGAAGGTCACCGGTTCGAGCCTTGGATGGGTCAGTTGGCATTTCTGTGTGAAGTTTGCATGTTTCCTCCGGGTGCTCCGGTTTCCCCCACAAGTCCTACTCCAAAGAACGGTATTGGTAAATTGGGAAAGCTAAATTGACTGTAATGTGTATGTGTGTGAATGGCCGTGTATGGGTGTTTCCCAGTGAAGGGTTGCAGCTGTAAGGGCATCCACTGCGTAAAACGTGCTGGATAAGTTGGCAGTTCATTCTGCTGTGGCAACCCCTGATTAATAAAGGGACAGAGCCGTAAAGAAAATGAGTGAATGAATTATTATTATTATTATTATGCCTATGTAATTTTTATTATTTAATTTCAGTTTTTAAATTATTTTATTACGTCTTTGAAGAGAATGACACTGAAATTAAAATGTTTTACGGGAAATTAGATGATTTTTTTAAAAAGTAATTCAAATTTTTACTTTAGCGTTTTTATTGTTTTGTCAAAATATTATACATTTTAATTATTTTAGTTAACTAGATCTCTGCTTTGAACCTTTGAAGGGTGAATAGTTCAACCAACAATCTTAAAAGAAACTCATCATTTATACAGTTTCCATTTGTACGAGTTTCTTCTGTTAACACAAAGGAAGATATTTTGAAAAATGTTGTGGGAAAATGTAGCCATTGACTTTTGTTGTTATACAAGGTGGGGGGGGGGGAATCAGGTTTGGTTACACTTGAAGTTGAGTAAATGGTAAGTACAGTGCTCAGCATAACTGAGTACACCCCATTTTGAAAATTAATATTTGTATTAATTTCTCAGTAAATATAGGCTATGTATTTTGGTGCTTTTAAACAAAACAGATTTATTAAACATATATTTATTAAAATAATACTTTAGTCACCAAACATATTGAGAAATTGAAAGATAATACAATTAAATTCAAGCCAAAAAAAAAAAAAAAAAAAAAAAAAAATATATATATATATATATATATATATATATATATATTAGGGGTGTAACGATACACTCAGCTCACGATACGATGTGTATCACGATATAATGTTCACGGTTCGATATGTATCACGATATTTGGAATAAAAATTGAAAATTTAACTGAAATGCAAATTTTACCAAGTAAACTATTTTTTATGTATTTCTTTTGTTTCAACTTGTTAAACTGAACCTTCTTTTAGAAAATATATTAAACAGGCCTGTCTCTGGAAAATAAAACAATTTAAAAACTTCTTAAAAAATATTATTGAAATGACAGAGAAAAAATTAAGGAACAATTTAAGTAAAGGTGCAAAAAAACACTTTCTGTTCAATTGAATTTAACAGTAAGAGCTTAAGGCTTTGCTTGGTCACTTGCGTTTTTTGTGTGTGCAAAAAAAATCCACATTTCCAGGTAATCAGCAGTTCTATAAGATAATCCTGAACTTATGTGTATCTGTCTGAGAGGTTTTTATGGATGGCTGTCTACATGTTGGGCATGATGAGTGACAGGGTGGCCATCTTTTCATTACACAGGACAGTCGTGGCTCTTTTCAGCAGTTTAGGCAGGTTTACTATTTCCTCGGCGTCGCTGATGTCGGCGCTATCAAGTGTATCATGTTGACGTGCATTTTTGTGTATCTCTGTACTCTAAAGGGTTAATGCTCGTCGTAATCATAACTCTAAAATGCGATATGATTGTTTAAATAATGTGTACGTTTTCGGTTTCATTTCCACTGCTAAGTGCTGTTCATACTTCCCACTTGGGCTCCTGAAAGATCACTCTGTTCCACAATCTGAATGTTGTTTACTACTTTATTAGTCACAACCTGCAGGTTCTGTTCACTGAAGCAGACGTGCGCGTATGGCATGCCGTTTTAGCATTTAAACCTTTGTTCTGACTATCCATAAATATATTTAATTCATATTTAATTAAATCCATTTAGAGATATCTCTAATTATATTTTGACTAGTCGAATTATAATTATGACTAGTCAAAATATAATTAGAGATATCTCTAAATATATTTATGGATAGTCAGATCAAAGGTTTAAATGCTAAATCGGCTTGCCATACGCGTGCGTCTATCATCCGCCCTCTGTAGTAACAGCTTACGTCATGTGTGATTTTGCGGCCACCAATACATCATTATATGAAGACAGAATGATATTTTAGGGTGAATTGTACCTTATAAATACAGTATGTGACTCTTTCAACACCATTAGGAGGTATCCATGTCGCTGTGCAAAGTATGTAAATCACTGTGAAGACTTTAAAACTTAGGATGTTTGACCCAGTATGCGTGTCAAAAAGCGGACGAGTCTAAAGCAATGACTGTACAACCGAAATGTTGCCAGACGTCTGATTTTGAGAGGATGGGCCATTCTCTATTTCAACTCCACTCATCTTGGTCTGCTAACATTACTGCTGCTGCAATCTGAACTCACGTGCGACAGCAGGTGGAACGTAGCTCACGTGCAGACAGCTCAACTAATAAGAGAAAACGGACGTCATATCGTAATCAAATCGTCATAACGCCACGATGCATATCGAGACATTTTTGCATCGCAATAAATCGTACAACGATAAATCGTTACATCCCTATTATATATATATAACCTACAGAATTTCAACTAAATTTTTCATTTTTCTTGCTTCTCTTGATTTTTCCTCTTTTTATATTTGCATTTGATATTTCTCTATAAAATAAATTTGGCTGTACTAGTTTTTGGACCGTTATCGTTATAAGTTATTTTGTTAGATAATTTCCAGATTTGGCTTCAATACTGACTTATCTGACATATATGCACAAATATAATATTGAATAGCTTCCTAAAAAATATGAATTTAAAAGAGAGATTTGTGGGGGGTGTATTTATATATATTGAGCTCTCTATATATTTGATTGTGTGAACTATACCTTTAAGTCTAAATGGGAACATTGCTATGATCAGAAATAAATTTAGTTAAAATAAGATCAAACATAAAATTTATGCTTACACATTTGCCCAAAAAAAGTCATGATTGTCTTTAAAAACTGACCTCATTTAAACATACACAAAGGAAATGCAAAACGTACAGCTAGGCCTGTAATGAAATACATGTTCTTGTATCACATCCCATCTTAGGTATGAAGGCAAGGCCGAAAAGTCTCTGAACGCCTACAACCTTCAAAGGAAGAGGGCAGCGGAGGGAGGCGTCCAGTGCGGAGAGGGCAAGAAGCAGATGAGCGCCGAGTCTCCATTGAACAAAGCTCAAGGCGTGAAGCGCAAAGCCCCCCTCGCCAACCAGCAGGCCCTGGACAAACTCTTCTCCTCTCAGCCCTCCAGTAAAAGGAGCCCTGCCAAAATCTCCAAACCCCTCCCGTTCACTATCGCAACCCTCAAGCAGAGTCTTAACCTCCTCTCCGAGCAGAGCAGCTCAAGTGTGCAGGGCCTCAGGCTTGTAAACCGCTTGGCTTCTCACGGTGCCTGGGTCGTTTTATGCGGCAGAAAGCTCATGTTGTTGAACCCGTTTCGAGTGGAGGAGGCCTTGCTGTTTAAAAGACTTCTGGAGGATAATATACTTCCAACCGTGAGGCTGCAGACCCCCGTACTGCTGACAGATGGGTAGCCCGTCTCATTTTCTCACCTAATGCTGACATTTTGACTGTGTAATGTCAATGTAACCACCATGTGTGTAGAAAAAATGGAAATATTATATACAGTTGAAGTCGAATTATTAGCCCCCCTGTTTATTTTTTACTCCAATTTCTGTTTGACACATTTCTAAATATCTAATAACTGATTTCTTTTTCCATGATGAAAGTACATAATATTTTACCAGATATTTTTCAAGATGCTAGGATTCAGCTTAGTGAGAGTGTCATTTAAAGGCTTAACTTGGTTAATTAGGCAAGTCATTGTAAAACAATAGTTTGTTCTGTAGACCAGTGGTTCTCAACTGATTTGGCCATGGGACTCAAATTTTTACATAGTCATCAAGCCGTGACCCAAATTTTAAGAAATCATTATACAATTTTAGGAATAATACTTAATTTGTATTTATTTGTTAACATAAACAAGTAGTGACAGATAGATCAAAAGAAATTCACCAAGACAATATATAAACAATATTTTATTGCTGTCGTTTAACAAAATGGATCAAATTATAGAAATATTACAAAGTAAAAACGACAAATACTTCTAATAATAAATTGTTAATAAACATATTTTCTGGTTTTTAAATGTTGTTTTAATTTAGATGGTTTCATGCTCTCTTATGAGAAAACCTCACTACATATGAAACTGAGGCTTTAAGTCTATTTTGTCGTCAATATATATATATATATATATATATATATATATATATATATATATATATATATATATATATATATATATATATATATATATATATACATACATACTTTACATATTCGGGGTCGTACTTGCGCTTCGACATATTTGTTGCAATAATTAAATGAAATTTCACATGTCAAACGGTAGGGTTGTCGCTGACGTACTTCAAAATAAAAGTCAGGTAAAAGCAAAATAAGTAAAAATTTTAACTTTTGTTGTTGTTTTTTTTGACTACACACTCCGCGACCCACCGGTTGAGGAACACTGCTGTAGACTATTGAAAAAAAATTGTTGCTTAAGGGTGCTAAGCAATTAATGCTGACAGCTAGCTCTCTGCAACTCTCACATGGTTGCCCACTGAAGCTAAGCAGAGCTTCGCCCAGTCAGTACCTGGATGGGAGACCACATGGAAAAGCTAGGTTGCTGGGGGTAGTGGTGTTAGTAGGGGGTGCTTAACCTGCAGTCTCTGTGGGTCCTAATGTCCCAGTATATTGATGGGGACTCTATACTGCTCAGGGAGCTTTCAGATAAGATGTTAAACTGAGGTCCTGACTCTCTGTGGTCGCTAAAAATCTTAGGATGTCCTTCAAAAAAAAAAATAGGGGTTTAACCCTGATGTCATGAGAAATCGAGTCCCCCCCCAAAAGAATTGGGTTCGCCTATAGGACCCTGATTGATGCTTTTGTGCCTAAGGAGTTGTAATAACTTTAGTCTGTAGCACCTCCAGTATTACAACTATTAATTCTGTGAAATCATGTTTTAATTTATATAATGTAAAAAGCGTAATAATGACTATTTAATTTCTGTCCAATAAGTTTAATTTGGTCATTGAATAGTGTTTCAATAATCACAAATTCCAGGATTCATTTTCTGATATGCATAAACTTACTAAAACAAGCAAAACAAACAAAAACAAACAACCCAAGCCTGTAAGTATACAATACAGTGATAATCAAAAGAACTTTTTAGTTACAATACATTGCTTTGGGGAAAGCAATTCCCCATGAAGTGACAGAAGAAAGGGCCCCAAATCTTCTGAAATTGTCCAATGTTGCCTTTGGACAAATATCTGGTTCGTTCTAAGTGCAGAGTAGATATCAATTCCTCAAGCCACAGTTTAGCAGTTAGAGGATTCACATTTTTCTAGTACAGTAATAGCAGCTTTTTGGCTGTTATCAAACAATATGTAAGGAATTTCTGTTGTGCACTGCTCAATGAATATGTATAATCAGAATGTTCTTATAAAATCCTAAAATAAAGTCAGGATCTGTGTTGAGCACTTTAAAAACCTCATTCCAGAATCTCTGTATTTTAGGACAGAATGCAAAACTATGAGTTACAGTAAATCAGCTTCTTTTGAATTGCACTTATCACAAATAGGCGATTTATTGGGGGAAATCCTATGTAATTTCTTTTTGGAAAAAATGTAGCATATGTAGGACCTTATGACTATTTCATTTCACCATTATAATGACATTTATAAGCGTTATATAGAACAGTGGTCCTCAACTACCGGGCCAATTGGTACCGGGCAGCACAAGAAATCATTAATTATTTCCATTTTATTTATCATTTGAGTCTGAACGGTCTTTTATTTGGAAAAATGTCTGTGTTCTCTCATTTACATCTCGGTCACTTGAGCGCCAAAACTCACAAGCAGCAAAATGAGTAGGAAACTGACTATTTAGAAAGTTTCTTTGCTAAGGGGAAAAGGCCCAGAGAATGACTGCCAAGGAATAAATCCTTAACCCATTTGTCAACAAATCAGGTGAATCCACCATGGCTGAACAAGAAAATGAACTGATGGACATCACACATCACAGCGGCCTTTTAGGGGCCGTTTGCATATTGCGTCTTTTCTAGAGTTTGCATAAGTTCATTGTTTTCAATGGAGGTGCACGCACGAGCGGCGTGACACACTTGCACGTTGCAGACGCACATAGTTGAATGAATCCAGTGAGTCACAAGACAACTGACCAATCAGCTTCAGCTTCAACCTACGAAACATCTGTTAAACACCTTTTGAGAAATATTTAAAAAAGAAAAAAATAACTGAAGGGCTAATAAAGTTGACTTCAACTGTATGAATAGTTATTTTTCCATCCAAAGATGCAAATTAAACTTATTTAAAAAAACTGGAATATTGAATAAGCCTTTGCACCCTTTTTATCATCACATAATTTGTTAAAACAAAATCACATTCCTTTAATTAAACACGCATGCTGGAATTTGTTTAGTAAATGTGTTTCCTTTGTAGAGATACGGTTTATCCTATTCAGTTGTAGCTACATTTTGATACCGTTCATACAAAATGTCTGCACATCTTGGTATTTCCATCAAGCATTTTTAATGGGATATTCCAAAATGCACATAAAAATAGGTGGATGGAAACATTTCTATAGTTATCCATAATTATCATCCTTATTCTGAAATGCAGTAGTACATTAATTACAATTTTGATATCTCATTATTGACTCACTGTTTCTTTCCCAGGGTGCTCGGTGGGCCAGAGTACATGGATGTCCTTCTGAACATGAAGAAAGATGGTCCTGAATTTAATGGAGACATCAGCTTAACTGATCCCAGGCTTGTGGCAAACGGTTTTGAGATTAGGATGATTTCAGGTAACAAACTTAAATTATTAGTACCAATAGATGCTTGTACCATGTAAAAATACCTGAGATTTTTAACAGTAAAAAAACTTTCAATATGCAACAGTAAAAATCTGTAACTTGGTTAACAGTAAGTTTTCGTGAACTGATGTTACATTGGTTTATTTGAGTTTTTTTCTCATCAGAAATGTATATTAGAGTTTATTGTTACATATTTAATGTTACATTTTACCATGAGGGTTTTAGTAGTTGTGTTTCAGACACTGAGTGCCTTCTACATATCAGTATATGACACTAAATTTATTGAAATATGGTAGTTTACCATACATTTCTTTTTACGGTATTTATTTTAGTGGTAATATTCTGGCAACCAGATTTTACTTTACTTTCAGCACACTTGCGATGTCTCTCATATTAATCTGCAGAGATCTTGATCTGCTCTTCTTTAATCTCTTCCACAATTCAGTGACTATAGATGGTTTACTTGGCCATAACTGTGTCACTGTTTGGTTAAAGTATAATTCAGTTGGAGCACATTGGCCGTTGTTTATTTTTGTTACGTTGTCTTAGGATCGCAAGTCTTGTTTAAGTAGGGACCATAACAGTCACTTTCAATCAAGTTCAGATCAGGACTCTTGGCTGCCATTCCATTATTCCAGTGTTTCAGCTTTACCTCTTTTGCTGAATGACAGAGCTCCCTCATGAAAAGTTTTGCCTTCTTTAACCACTTTGGGTTCATTCATTTTCTTTGCGGGTTAGTCTCTTCATTAATCAGGGGTTGCCACAGAGGAATGAACCTCCAACCCATCCAGCCTACCCATTTCACCTATACCACATGTTTTTGGGAAACCGGAGCACCCGGAGGAAACCTATGTGAACACAGGGAGAACATGCACACTGCACACAGAAATGCTAAACTGACCCAGCCAAGGCTTGATCCAGCAATCTTCTTGCTGTGAGGCGATCCTGCTATCACCATGTTTGTAGTTTGTGTACACCTTTTACCCGAGTTTGTAGTTCTAATCAAATTTTGTGTCATGCCCAACATGCAATGTACTGTGGGCAATATCAGCGGTTAGACTATGGACGCCTCTACACCTTTGGCATACTCTTTTCAACATACTATGGTTCGGGACTTACTAATTCTATTTCCCAATACTATTAAGGATGGATAGTGTGTGAATTGGGATGCAGCAATAGACTTTTGATGTGGTAAAATAACTAAAAATGATTTTGGTCACCAATGTCTTTAGCATCAGATCAGAGTGGATGTTTACTATTAAGGGCAATGTGACATTTACGGGCTGCACTGCTAATTCTAATGCCAATACATTGAACTGCTTGTAGTATATGTGCACCCTCGGAGCTTCATATGATTACAGTTGAAATACTGAAGTCACATGCAATATTTTGACAATGTTTTTGGTTCCTTTTCTGAACTTTGACCCTAGAGAGACGTTCAGAGAGCTCTCAGATTTTATCTAAAAAGTCTTGATTTATGTTTTGAAGTGTTTTGAATCTGCAGTTATGACCCTTTTTATTCCATACAATACATACATTTGGTTTTGGTGAACAATTTATAAAGTTGGTACACATGTTGTATAATAAGCCTTTTAGTGCTGTACTCACTAATGGCTGTAGATCCTCCATGTTCAAAATTGAGAAAGCAACAAGGCAAGGTTGCCCTCTCTAACCGCTTCTGTTTGCCTTAATAATAAAGCCGTTAGCAGAAGCAATAAGGGAAAATAATAAAAATAATGGTTTTATGCTAGCAACCAAACCACACAAGATTGCTTTACACTGCAAAAAAGCTTTTCTTGCTTAGATTTTTTGTCTTGTTTCTAGTTTAAATATCTAAAACTTCTTATATAAATTAGCAGTTTCTAGATAAGCCAAACATATTGTGGTGTTTTGAGAAATAATATGCCAATATCAAGTGAGATATCTGCCAATGGGGTAAGCAAATTAATCCTGTTTTTTCTTTTGTAACGTAAGATTATTTTGCTTACGCCATTGGCTGATTAATTTGCTTGTTTTAAGGAAAAACTCACTTAATATTGGCAAATTATTTCTTAAAACAAGACAATATGTTTTGCTTGTCTAGAAAATTCTTCTTGATTTAGGAATTTTTAGATATTTGGACTAGAAACAAGACAAAAAAAATCTTAAGTAAGAAAAGCATTTTTTGCAGTGTATACGCAGATGATATTCTTACATTCATGGTAAATCCTGAAACCTCTACCCCAAAATCTCTTAGACACAATTGACAGATTTGCTGTTTTTTCTGGTTATAAAATCAGCTACCATAAATCAGTGACAATGCCTATAGGAAGTTTACAACAAATACCCCAAACACTACCATCATTTCCATATAGGTGGTCCCCAGAAGGTTTAACATATTTGGGCATCAATATCACCCCCACATTTGAACAAATGTATAAAGCCAATTTTATTCCACTGTTTGAACGCATTCGAATAGATTTAGAAAGATGGAACATTCTACCTATTTCTTGGATTAGTCTGGGGATTGAACTGAGCAATTAATAACAGAATTTTCATTTTTGGGTGAACCAGCGCTTTAAAATGACCATTATGTGCCACATTAACACCAGTAATTGTGAGGTATCTGAAAGCGTTCTCTAATTTGATCTCTAAACTGATCCCAGCCGATCAAATCAGAGGAGTAAAACTATCTGTTTTATAAACAAACCAGTAAAAGAGTCTGAATTATGTAAAAAGAAAATGTTGTGAGACTCTATACACAAGAGTATGGTCGGATTTAATTAGCTTTTACTGCTCTGCTCCCACAGACACGCTCGATTTGTGTACTTTGGAGCCTGTCACCAAATTGAAACAATTGTCTGCATTTCACTTTTCCATTACATACGCATCCCTGGACAGTTTACCTGCCTTGTGCAACTTGCATAAGGTTTAATTTTAAATGGAGTAAACTACTTCTTTATAGGCATTGGAAAATATCATTCAACTTTCAATATATGATGATGATAATGCTTAATTTGTAGTTTTTAATAACTTTTAATATCCATGCTATTACCTTAGAGATGTTAATTCCTGCTGTGCCGAGTGATGAAGTCATTGTTTATACAAATTGCTTAAGTGGAAAGTGCAGTGTCAGCACTTAATTTTCCCCTACACAGCTCAGAGTGCGCACACCCATTATATGAAAACCCAAATTTTTTTTTATTTTTTTTTTATAAGGGGGCTTGATTTCACTTCCTATATGACTTAGCCTCATGTTTTTGAGCTGGTCATTAAGTGCGTTCGATTGAATTCGCTGCCCTCCTTCTCTCCTCATGTCCAGCGGAGTGGGAAAAAATGACTTGTGCACACGGTTTTGTTTTGTTTTATTCAGGGGTTTTTTCACCAGGTTTCTCTTGAGAAAATGTGCCTTTATTAATTCAAGGGTCATGCTGTTTAAAGGTCTCTGGGATTGTCCGATTTGATTTAACAAAGGTTGGACCCACTGGACATCATTAATGCCACGGTTCACAAATTATTTTTGAAATATCAAATATAACGGCTTGAATAACAGGATTACAGTCAATTATTTCTGACAGGATTGCTTGTGTGGGATTAGCGAAGAATGAAAGTATTGTGTTGGTTTTAAATGTTTTCTTGTGCATTTTTTTAAAGATGATATAGTAAACTGTTGTTGGTTCTGTTTGGTCACTGCAGGGCTTTCTGGTGTTACTGTGGAGATGAAGAATAGGTGCTTTATCTGGCATATATATTTATTTTCAAATCAGAATTAGTAAAAGCACCTATAAGCATTTATAAGATGGTGTTAAAGAGATTAGAACAATGAAAAATGCAGTTTATTTACTCACCTTTAAACCACCCAAAATGTATCAGGGTGTCTGCAGGGTTTTAAAAAGTCTTAAAATGTCTTAAATCATAAAAATCTAAATTTTAAGCCTTAAAAGGTCTTTTAATCTACTGAAATATTACCTTGTAGGTCTTAATTTTTTTTTAAACGGGTCTTAATTTATAGCTACCCAATCTGGCCAACACCCATGCAATCACCAACAATCCATCTCAATAACAATTGTAACTTTTTATTGAAATTTTTTACTCTATTTACCATAATGGTTTAATTGTTTTTCTGACAATAACATTTGTTTAAAAGTGCTTCGTGTATTTACTGCTGAGGATACTGACCTGACCTATATTTTTTATTATTAAATAATAATAATTATATTAATTATAATTATAATAATAATTATTATTGTTGTATTATTAAATATATTAAATGAATGTATTTTTTGAAAAAACCCTAGCATTTACCTCTGTATAAGTCTAAAATTTTATTCATAATGGTCTTAAAAATGTCTTAAAAGTCTTAAGTTTAACTTGGTGAAACCTGCAGAAACCCAGGTGACTTCTTTTTCTTCAGTAGACTATTAAAAGGATAGTTCACCCAAAAATGAAAATGACCTCATCATTTACTCAGTTTCTTTTTGTCTGTTGAACACTAAGGATTTTTTTAATCCTATGGAAGGTTTTGGACAAGTGAAGGGTGAGTGGAAGGAAGAGTTTATGTTTGGGTGAACTATCTCTTTAAAGAAGAAGTTTTTGCTAGAAAATGTGGTGATTTTTATAAAATGCAGGTCAAGGCCTACCTGCACTTTGAGATAAAAATCATTGGTAACACTTTATTTTGATGGTCCATTTATTATCAGACTGTCTGCTTAATATCTGCTGATTCTGCTCCTTCAACAGACATTTAACTGACTATAAGAAACTTTGCAAGTACTTATCAACTTAAACTAACACTAACCCCAACATTAATCCCAACCTAACTGTCTACTTATCTAATGAGAATTAGTTGGCATGTAGATGCAATGAAACTTAAATTCAACAAACGGACCATCAAAATAAAGTGTGACCAATACATATAATGACATACCAAAATTAACTTCTGTGGCTCCCAATAATACATTGTGGTCCTGTTCAAGCGAAGATCTGAGAATATTTGACCACATTATGACCTTTAATCCACAGCCTTGTCAAATTGTTCTGAATGCATTCATGTCAGTATATTCAACACTGGGAATCTCAGAAAAGTCATTCGTTCTGATTTAACATGGCACACATAGATATAATCTTGCTTTTAATATAGTTTGCAGCATCCAGGAAAAGCCTAAGCAAGAGCCATTTTGATGAAGAATGCAGCACAATGCAACAAACATCCATGTATAAGTGTGCACCTCCAAATACGTCACTATGTGAAAGGAAACTTCAGACTCTTAAATGCATTTAGATCTGTTTACTGTGGATTAAAGGTAAAATGTTGTAATGCTCGGTTTTCTGCATAGACCAATTTTTCTTTGTACGATCTCAGTGCTTCATCAGTGGCCATGGGCTTTCATTTTGATTAGTCTGTGTGTTTTTTATTAACTCTCAAAGTGACCACATTTTCAGCTGAAAATATTCTTAATGATGCGCTGAAGAAAAAGGTAATCTATATTTGGACTGGGGCAGCACGGTGGTGCAGTGGGTAGCACAATCACCTCACAGCAAGTAGGTCACTGATTCGAGCTTAAAACCTAAATTGTCCATAGTGTTTGTGTGTGAATGAGTGTGTGTGGATGTTTCCCAGTGATGGGTTGCTGCTGGAAGGGCATCCGCTGCATAAAAAATAAATAAAGAGAATAAGCCAAAGAAAAAATTAATGAATGAATATTTGGATTGTGGGGCAGCTCAGTGGGGCATTGTGTTGCCCTGTCACCTCACACCAAGAGGGTCACTGGTTCAAGCCTCGGCTGGGCCACTTGGCATTTCTGTGTGGAGTTTGCATGTTCTCCCCGTGTTGGCATGGGTTTTCTCTAGGTGCTCCAGGTTTCTCCCACAGTCCAAAGACATGCGCTATAGGTGAATGGGGTAAACAAAATTGGCTATAGTGTATGAGTGAATGTGAGAGTGTATGGGTGTTTCCCTGTACTAGGTTGCAGCTGGAAGGTTATCCGCTGTGTAAAACATGCTGGGATGGTTGGCGGTTCATTCTGCTGTGGTGACCCCTGATAAATAAAGGACTAAGCCGAAGGAAAATAAATAAATGAATATTTGGATTGCCTGCAGGTTAGAATAATGCATATATTCTTTTTTGGATGAACTATCCCTTTAAGCACCATTAATATACACCCAAATGATGTTTAAAGTTCCGGAGGGCTGCATGCATTTGATTAAAAATACAATATTAATGTGAGTAGTATTACAATATGTGTAACTAATTATTAGCATTATTACAATATTAATGTAACTGATTTCTATTAAAAATAATGTTTTAAGTTTAATTCAGTCGTGAAAAAACAGATTATTACTCCAGTCTTCAATGTCACGTGATTCTTCAGAAATCATTTTAATTTGTGGATTTGGTGCTCAAGAAACATTCATTATTATTTTTGAAGTTGAAATAGGTTATTTTTTGGTGGAAAATAAGCTTTTGAATGATGAATCGATAATTCAAAAGAGGATTTATGTATTCATTTGAAATAGAAATTTTGTAGAGGCGGCACGGTGGCTTAGTGGTTAGCAATGTCGCCTCACAGCAAGAAGGTCGCTGGTTTGAGTCCCAGCTGGGCCAGTTAGCAGTTAGCATGTTCTCCATGGTGTTTGCGTTGGTTTCCTCAGGTTGCTCCGGTTTCCCCCACAGTCCAAAGACATGCTCTATAAGTGCATTGAATACTAAAATTGGCCATACTGTATGACTGTGTATGGGTGTTTCCCAGTACTGGGTTGTGGCTGGGTAAAACAAATGCTGGAATAGTTGGTTGTTTATTCCGCTGTGGTGACCTTTGAAAAAGAGACTAAGCCGAAAGAAATGAATGAACGAATAGTAGTATTGTAACTGTGTCACAAAATACAAAATGTCTTTGTCACTTAATAATTTCAGTGCACTCATGCTGAGTGAAAGTATTGATCTCTAATCTAACTTAAGCTCCTCAGCAGTTTTATTCTTACTTTATTTTATTTACAGTGCATTTCTGTCATGATCTGTACTTTTATCTATCAACAATAATGACAAAAAGTCAAGACAACAAATGCGTTTATGTTGCTTCAACTTATTTTCATAAATTAATCAGGTTTTAACTATATTTAATAAGTTGTACAAAGTTTAACTTAATATTTTTAGTCAGTTTGATTAATGTAAGTTGTGATGACTAGAAAAGTTAATTTGATTCAACTAAAAAGTTAAGTCAGCAAGAAGTGTTTTACAGTGGCTAATGCCAACACTTTCACAGGTTTAGAAGCATTTATCGTGTGGTGTTGTTCCTCCTCTGAGGGTCTGCCATGTTAGTCCTCGTTTGACCTGTTTGTGCCTGTTGTTCAGGAATGCTCTTAAGACTGTTGTGTTGGCACTGCTCAGGGTCATCATGGCTGAAGTTGGCTCTGCGCCTGAGCTTTTGCCAGCACGCTGGATTTGCTCTACAGTGTGGTGCTGTGGAGGAAAATTGCCCTTTACAAAAGGGAATAGTTTCTGTGCCAACTTTCAGGGATTTGGCAAAAACATGCACCAGATTTCAAGCCCTTTCAAAACCCCAAAGTATATTAAACTTTGGCAGATAATTCACCCCTCACTGTTTGTACTACAAATATTAATGATACATCAAATTGTTCAGCTTGTTGAGAAGTGAACCGTTATATTCCTAGATAGAATTACTCAGAGTACATAACATAAAACAACAACAGTAAATCCGTTCTTGTATTGAAGGAAGATTTGCAGCATTATTAATTAAAACAATTAACTGGAAATAAAGTAAAATAAGTTAAAAGGTATGTTTGTTTTTAATATTTCTGTGCTTTATTTTATTTCAGGAATTAAATTGAATAAAGACAAAAATAAAGGCAAATAAAAATAGATAAAATTTGTAAAATTCTCAAATGACTAAAACCTAAACGTGAGAACGTGAACTGGAAATTAGAAACAAAATGTTATGACATACTATAATATAAATGATTTGAGTTGAAGACCTAAGAAAGAATGTCATTTGTAACATTGTTTTATGCTGTACAGAAAAACTATATTAATAAGCAAAAAAAAATCATGCAACTAACCGACCAGCGAAAACTTAGGCGACTGAGCCTGTTCAGCCCTATACATTTAGTAATACTATAATACATAGTAATGCATAAGTGACTATAACAGCCTGATCTCACGAGGAAACAGAACTCTTTTAAATATTGTCAGAAAACTGCCTAATTTATTTGAATTTATACAAATTCATTCATATGAAAATGTCAAATTTTTAAAAGGAGGTGTGTGCCCAAACCCCGCCCCTGATCCTGCCCCTCATCGGGGCATGAGTAAATCATAATAAAATGCACGACTGATGCCACTAAATTAAAAAGTTAAGAACTGCCAACTCATATTTGATTCAGCAGTACTTTGAAAAAAAACATTTATTCACAAACTGGATTTACAAAAATTTTTAAGGTCCTGTGAAGTGCTTTCAACTGTGCATTATATTTTGTGTTTGAAGTAATCTTAAATGAAATATGCAGAGGGGGTGCGACGTTGTGTAGCTTATTTTTTATAAAACAGCCAATAGCGTTTAGTTTTCCTCACAGCTCGGACAGTGAAAGTGGTTGAGCTCAAGCGCATCCAATGTGACGCATCTTAAAGGGGGCGGGGCATGTCAGATAATAGAGAGCTTTTGATTGGTCATGATTTGATGAGAAACTGAACGTATGAGGTGATGTGAATAAACGTATGTGATGACGTGACGAACTAAAAGCATTAAATGTTGATTTCCATTTTATATCTTTTAAACGCAAATTTTGTTACTGTTTGAGCACACTAGCTTATAGATATCCTAAAATCTAACAACACTGATACTAACATCTAAAACTTTTTATTTTAATTTCATTGGACCTCTAAGGCAAGTGGTTGCAAACAATTTATATGGACTGAATTTAAACAAAGTTGAACATTGCTAAATTTAATTAGTTATTTTTTTATTAGTTCAATTAGCGCATATAAATTGTTTGCAACCTCTTACCTTAAAAGATTTTGTAAGTCCATTGAGTCATTTTTGCGTTGTTGCGACGTGTAGTTACATTTTTTGAGAGGTGCTCATCAGTGACGGCCACGGCGAGGGCTATGTGTCCTCGGCAAGGGCTATGCGTCCACACGCCGGAGCATACACGTGCGCTTGACACAGAAGCATGAATAAGCCTTAACAAGGAGAGCACCTTTAGAAATCAGAGGAGTGAGGTTTACCTGCATGGCACTTTGCTAGCTGGCCTCTGTTACACTCTCCCCCCTAAATCTTCCTCCTATCCCAGACAAGCCCCCACATGTAACCCACCGGTCTTACTGCACCCAACCTGGTCTAAGGTGGGATCAAACCGGCGATTCTGTGCATTTGAGTCGCTTGCCCTAACAAGATAGCTAAAGACTTTAGTGTCTTTGTCTAGAGCACCTTTTGAGGTCAGAGGAGTGCGGTTTAACTGCATAGCACTTTACTAGCTGGCCTCCATTACAATATCATTTAGTAAGCATAGCAGATCGAGATTTGCAACTGCTGTGTATCTGTTTAAAGTGCATAGGGAAGGAGAAGATGTTTAGTCTGCTCTTCCTTGATGACCTTTCCATACATTTCACCTCTTCATTGAGACGCATCTGGGGAAAAGCAATCATCTTTAAATCATCTGTTGAAAACCTCTTCCACCTCAGTTTTCCTTTCCAGTCCACAAAGACACGGTAATAGCGTAATTTGGTGCCGTGCCCGCGCCTGACTTGGTTTCCAACCAGCGTGTAAATCACAATATTTATTTATTATTTTTTCCTGGAGAACATTGTACATGGAGTTTATTAATCCTCGCTCGTTGTTTGTGTTGGCCAGGTCCGCAGTCTTCGGAGAGGCATGTTGAGGTGATGGGCATGGCCGACTGCATGCCGTTCTTCGGGATAGGAGACCTGAGGGAGATTCTGCAGGCTATAAAGGCCCGCGGAGCAAAAACCGTGGCGCAATGTAGACCTCGCAAAGTCTCACACTACCTCGAGGTGAGAGATGATGATTGAGATGTATGAGTAAATGGTTGATTTACCATCCAATTATTGCAGAATTGACATGTTTGGCTAGTTTACTCATACATACAGTTGAAGTCAGAATTATTAGCCTCTCTTTAAATATTTTTTGCCTAATTTCTGTTTAACGCCATGAGGATATTTTTCAACACATTTCTAAACATAATAGTTTTAATAACCGATTTCTTTTAATATTTCTTTTGCCATGATGAAAGTACTTATTTTACTAGATATGATATTAGTATTCAGCTTTAAGTGCAATTTGAAGGCTAAACTAGATTAATTAGGCAATTTAGGCTAATTATGTAAGTCATTTCAGTGGTTTGTTTTGTAGACGATCGGAAAAAATATATATTGCTTAAGGGGCTAATAATAATTATCTTAAACTTATTTTATTCAAGCCAAATAAAACCAATAAGACTTTCTCTAGAAGAAAAAAAATATTATTGGAAAAAACTATTATTGGAAATACAGTAATAAAAAATCCTTGCTCTTATAAACATTAATTTGAATAATTAAAATTCACAGGAGGCCTAATCCTTTTGACTTCAACTGTATATTTAAATAGCAATATATACAGTCAAATTTAACCCGAAATTATTCATACCCCTGGCAAATTCTGACTTTTATTTAAACCAGCAAGTTTTTTTTTTTTTAATGGAAGTTCTTTTCCCAAAAGACTAAAAAAAATTATTTACAATAAAAATATTATCAGTATCAGTATTTCAGGGTGTCCGTGGGGTCTTTAAAAGTTATAAATGCTGATAAATCAATGTAGAGATATTTAAGGCTCTTAAAAAGTCTTAAGTGCTACTTTGTTTATTGCAGTACCCAAAGCAACACCATTTTTTTTCTGCAGTTCTATAGACGCCAACCTGATCAATGAGCTAGATTTAATAGATTCTTATTCAGGATATGAATGAGGTTTTAGTTTTGGATTAGTTTCTTACAATAATATTTAGTAAATATACTGTAAGATATAAATTTAGTACGTCATAATATAATTTGTATAGAATTTAGGACAAAAGGTTATACTTTGACGGGTAGAATAACTAAAACAACTGCTTTGTTGTACTGTACAGTGCATCTGGAAAGTATTCATAGCCCTTCCTTTTTCCACATTTTTTTTTTTTGTTATAGCCTTATTCCAAAATGAATAAAACTAATTTATTTCCTCAAAATTCTACACGCAGCACCCCATTATGACAATGTGAAAAAACATTTTTTGAAATTGTTGCAAATTTATTAAAAATAAAGCTAAAAAAAATCACATGTACAGAAGTATTCACAGCCTTTGCCGTGAAGAACTACATTGAGCTCAGGCATTCAGTTTCCACTGATCATTCTTGAAATGTTTCAGCAGCTTAATTGGAGTTCACCTGTGGTAAATTCTGTTAATTGGACATGATTTGAAAAGGCATACACCTGTCTATATAAGGTCTCAGGGTTGACAGTGTATGTCAAAGCACAAACCAAGCATGAAGACAAAGGAATTGTCTGTAGACCTCAGAGACAGGATTGTCTCGAGACACAAGGCTATGGAAGGTTACAGAAACATTTCTGCTGCTCTGAAAGTTCTAATGAGCACAGTGGCCTACATCATCCATAAGTGGAAGATGTTTGAACCACCAGGACTCTTCCTAGAGCTGGCCGGCCATCTAAGCTGAGTGATCTGGGGAGAAGGGCCTTAGTCAGGGAGGTGATCAATAACCCAATGGTCACTCTGTCTGAGCTCCAGTGTTCTTCTGTGGAGAGAGGCCACCAATCAGGCCTGTGTAGGCTGTTACAGTGGCCAGACGGAAGCCACCCCCCACCTGGGATTTGCCAAAAGGCATCTAAAGTACAAACAAAATTTTCATTTTTCACGTTGTCATTATGGGGTATTGTGTGTGGAATTTTGAGGAAATAAATTAATTTAATTATTTAGGAATAAGGCTGTAACATAAATAAATGTGAAAAAAGTGAAGCGTTATGAATACTTTCCGGATGCATGGTATATGGACCTATTTCATTAAAAAATATTTCTACCCCAAGGTCTTTTTGCATTAAAAACGTGTTTAGTATTTTGTTTAATATTCTGCATGTTTTTCTTTTTAGAGCGAGGCAGTGAGACTAGCAAGACAGTTACCTCTCAGTCTCTCAAGAGCCGATGTTACAAACACACTTCGCCGAATGCAACAGGAACTTCAAGACGAAAGTCAGGTCTGCATTCACAGGCTGCCATTTTTTCACAATCTGGTGACCCTTCCTGAAACCGAGCAGGAGGCTCTACAGATCATGTCCGGTTCTCAGTAAAAAGGACTTCAATACAAGGACCCGTCATTTCATACACTATTATTAATTGATCAATATCCAGGCCATTTGAAATAATAAATGTTTTTCTAGATGAATTGCTGTTAATATCAGTGAGTGTTAATCACTACACAGTCCAGTCCAATACTTCGGTATTATTTTTCACATGGTATGGAAATAATACAGCAGGTGTTAGTAATTATAATGCATTATATAGCTGCTTAAGTACACTTTTGACAGCCCCTTTACTTTATATGAATGATTTTATGAGGGCAAAGCTATGATTTTAGTATATTTATATCATGGCACATTTGAGTTTTGAAACTTAAACCACTCTTCGGTGGTTTTTCTGCTGTAATTTATTGTCGGATAATTGTTTTGGCATTAGTGGTAACGAAGGAAAGGTTAAGCGTCCAACTTTAAAAGTGTGCCTTGTTGACTTCTGATTAGAAAAGAAAACAACCCAGAACTCCTGACCCCACAGCAGATGCCGGTGAACCGCAAAATTGAATGCAGTGTGGTTGTAAATTCACTCTCCCCCAAAAATCAGCACCTTAAATGCTGATCATGAAAGCTGGCTCTAGGGGCTCATAAAGCCCAGAAGAGATGGGCTCTGGGGTTTGCCCAAAAGTGTGCAGTCGCAGTCAGGGACCTCCAATTACCAGCTGAAAATAAGCCTCAGATGCTGTGAAGTTTTAACAGTTGCTCCCCTGTAGCCATATGGTTTGTGGTTTTTTAGTGTTTGATCAGTTCCACGAACTGCATTTTAACCATTTGGGGGGTGGGGGGTGGGGGGGTTCTCCATCGAGGACAGGAGGGTACAAATTGAAATGTTAGAGCATTTTGTTTTACATAGAAAGCTTCTCTGGTTTATTTCTTAAAATAGAAACTATGAAATGCTGTTTTATAGCAAAAATTGAGGTGTAGTTCTAATTGAAAACAACTATAAAAAATACACTATCTGACAAAAGTCTTGTCGTCGATCCCAGTTGTAAGAGCAACAAATAATAACTTGATGTCTACTTGAGCAATTGGAAAAAATGTTATAAGATAATTTTATCCGATGAATCATCTGTTGAGCTGCATCCCAATCCTAACAAATACTGCAGAAGACCTATTGAACCTGCATAGACCCAAGATTCTCACAGAAATCAGTCAAGTTCGGTGAAGGCAAAATTATTGTTTTGGGGTTACATTCAGTAAGGGGGCATGCGAGAGATCTGCAGAGTGGACATCAACAGCCTGAGGTATCAAGACATTTGTGCTGCCCATTACATTACAAACCACAGGAGAGGGCAAATTCTTCAGCAGGATAGCACTCCTTTTCATACTTCAGCCTCCACATCAAAGTTCCTGAAAGCAAAGAAGGTCAAGGTGCTCCAGGATTGGCCAGCCCAGTCACCAGACAGAAATGAACCTTATTGAGCATGTCTGGAGTAAGATGAAGGAGGAGGCATTAAAGATGAATCCAAAGAATCTTGATGAACTCTGGGAGTCCTGCAAGAACGTTTCTTTGCCATTCCTAGATGACTGTATTGTTAAGTTATTTGAGTCATTGCAGAGATGTATGGATGCAGTCCTCTAAGCTCATGGGAGTCATACGCAATATTCATTCTTTTTCCACTACACCATAACTTTGTATTCTGTACTGTACATTATTTCTGTTAAGTGACAAGACTTTTGTCTTAGCAAAGTCAGACCCTACTGTCCTAATTAAATAATTAAAAATCAAGGCATGATCATATTTTAATTTAGTAAAATAAGCATAATCTAGAGGCCGTTGCCTTTCATATAAGCCACTTCTGATACCAAATGATCAACTAGAAGTCAAGTTATTATTTGTTGTTCCTAAAACTTCCTAAAAGGTGACAAGACTTTTGGCAGGTTGTGTATGCATATAATTATGCTATAAAATGCATCCGAAAAGTATTCATAGCGCTTCACTTTTTCCACATTTATTTATGTTACATCCTTATTCCAAAATGGATTAAATTCATTTATTTCCTCACAATTCTACACACAATACGCCATAATGACAATGTGAAAAAATATTTTTGAATGTTGCAAATATATATATATATATATATATATATATATATATATATATATAAAACTTAAAAAAAAATAAAAAATCGCAGTACCTCTCAAGCGCTATCAGGTTGAATGGGAAGCGACAGTGTACAGCCATTTTCAGATCTCTCCAGAGATGTTCAATAAGATTTAGGTCTGGCCTCTGGCTAGGCCACTCAAGGACATTCACAGACTTGTTGTTAAGCCACTCCATTGATATTTTGGCAGTGTGCTTTGGGTCATTGTCAATGCACCGTCAACCCTAGGACACCATGTAGACAGGTGTATGCCTTTTCCAATCATGTCCAATCAACTGAATTTACCACAGGTGAACTCCAATTAAGCTGCTGAAACATTTCAAGAATGATCAGTGGACACAGAATGTACCTGAGCTCAATTTAGAGCTTCAGAGCAAAGGCTGTGAATACTTCTGTGCATGTGATTTTTTTAGCTTTATTTTTAATAAATTTGCATTAATTTCAAAAAATCTTTTTTCACATTGTCATTATGGGGTTTTGTGTGTAGAATTTTGAGGAAATAAATTAATTTAATCCATTTTTGGAATTAGGCTGTAACATAAAAAAATGTGAAAAAGTAAGCCGCCATGAATACTTTCAGGATGCACTGTATATTTTATAATTTATATGATTAAGAAATCAGTAAGGGGGCAAAAATTTTTTTACTCCACTGTATATACAGTTGAAGACCAAATTATTAGCCTTCCTGTAAAATTGCCAAGAAATGTTTAACAGAGCAAGTACATTTTCACATTATTTACTGTAATTTTTTTTATTTTTTTTTTTTAGTTTTTACATTTTTCAAAATCTTAATGTCAGTTTTATTTGCCCCCATAAGATTTTAATGTCATGTTTTTTTACTGGGTATAATATTTCTAAAGGAGCTGACATGGAATTGAGCCAGATTTTGGTAAAAACGTAAACAATACAAACATCAAAACAAAAATCTGAAAAATGAGTTGTGTGTAATGACAATGAAATGACACCAGGAGAAAGTACTGAACTACTAGAAAAATTTTACAATACTTTTTCCCTGAGTCATTTAGTTTTTTTAAGCATAACTTTGTTTGCAAACTAATTAGTTTTGTTTTCTTTGCATATATAGATTTATTTGGTTGTTACCAAAATCCGGTACAAATTCAAGCCAACAGCACCTTTAAAAATATGTTTTCTAAAAAAAAATGGTGACTTATATAATACTTATTTTCTCGCTCTATGTTTCTCTAATTCAAGTCACTGACACAATGTGTTTTCAGACATTAAAATCCAACCAAAAGCCACCAGAATGTGCCACCTGATGCTCACAGCCGTCTTTGGTGTCCACTGTATTATGGATTGTACTAGAACATTTTTTGTGGCGCCAAGTGGTTGTTTCAAGGAGAACAATTATGTTCAATTAATTAACAGAGCTGTAGAGTTCAGCCTCTATTGCAGAGCAAAATGACAGCCATAATGTGGCAATCAGCAGCTGTAAAGCAGTTACCTTCAGCTCTTTAACTCAGAGACTCAAGAAACATATGCTCTGTGTTAAAAATCACTGCTGTGAAAACATGTTAGCCTTTATTGTCACTTAAGCTCCTAAAAGCTTTTTCAAAACAGATCTCAAGGTTAAGGGGAGCCCAGAACATCTGGGATTTTATTTATTTATTTATTTATTTTAACCCAGAATTAGAAAATAGGAACAGGACTAATTGTAAGAATCATCGACTCAGCACATGATATGAGGATGACTGCACATTGTCCCAGGACATTTTGCTCAGTCATGCTCTACGCCATGTTACTGTTTGCTAATTTAAAACAGGTGGGTTTGGTGCTGGGTTGCTTTCTTTGGCCTTTCTCCGTCCTCATCTCTGAACTAAAAATAGCTCAGAGGAGAGAAGGTAGCTCAGCTCAACTGCTACATAATACCAGATATACAACGAATGATTAAAGTCTATTTGCCTTCATTTTACCTAAAACCCAAGATTGGCACAAACTAAACTAAATCTTGAACCTGCCAATCCAGCTTCAGCCCCTACGCAAACAGTTATCAGCTTGTTATTATGTTTATTTTTAATCTTAAAAACTGATAACCATCAACTTGCATTATAAAATAAGTGTTAAAAAAAATCTTAATTTATTTATTAACTCCAGAAGAGGGTTTGTGTTGGCAAAAGCTGTTAGTAAACCTAACCCAAAGAGCCTGAGTGAATCGGATGTTGCTGCAGGCTTTTATTGCAGTGTTCATTCATTTTCTTTTCGGCTTAGTCTGTTTATTAATCTGGGGTAACCACAGGGGAATGAACCGCCAACTTTTCCAGCATTTGTTTTATGCAGCGGATGCCCTTCCAGCTGCAACCCATCACAGGAAATCATCAATACCCTCTCATTCACACACATACACTATATGAATAATTTAGCCTTTCCAATTCACCTATAGCGCATGTTTTTGGACTTGTGAGGGAAAACCGGAGCACCCGGAGGAAACCCATGCAAACATGAGGAGAACCTGCAAACTCCACACAGAAATGCCGATGACCCAGGCGAGGCTCGAACCAGCAACCTTCTTACTGTAAGGTGATCGTGTTACCCACTACACCATCGTGAAGCCTTATTGCAGTGTGATGACGTATATTTTCGTAATTGAAATATTGAGTCGGAGGCAGGTTTTATTTTGTGCTCCATCTTTCACTTGCAGCAAACTAACGGTTGGAGGGTCGTGGCTAAGCATATTTTACCCAAACCATCAAACTGACATCATCAGAGGACTGACGGAAGCAAAAGGTTAGATGTCTTTTTTTTAAGTGGATTAACTTCCAAAGATTAGTTGTTCACATAAAGACAACAAATATGAGCTTGCAAATTTAACAAATGTAGAATGTAATATAATAATGAAAAAATAAATATATACATTGAAAGTCAAAATGATTTCTTCACATATTTCCTGAACAATGTTTATCAGAGCAAGGATTTTTTTACAGTATTTCCTATAATATTTTGTCTTCTGGAGAAAGTCTTATTTTTTATTTTTG